CAGGCTACCCTCCAGCCTCTGTGCCAGTCAGTCCACAAATTAGGCTGTACTTTGTGGATGTCACAGAGTCACAACTATTTTGTATCTGCTTATTGGGTCCCAATCAGAGGCTTGGTTCAGCCCCAGCAGATCCTGCCAGTTCTCTCTGTGCCAGAAGCAGCTGACTAATGTCACCGTGGCACAGGGCTCTGCCCAAATCCCAGCTGTCCTCTTCTAGACCTCTCTGTGCCAGGAGCAACTATAATGTCACCGTGGCAGTGGGTCTGCCCAATTCCAAGATGTCCTCCACTAGTTCTCTCTATGTTGCTGACGCCATCATGGTGCCGGGCTCTGCCCAATTTCAAGATGTCCTCCACCAGACCTTTCTACACCAGGGGTGACTGTCTGATGTCACCGAGCTGCAGGTTCTGCCCAACTCCAAGATGTCCACCGCCAGACTCTCCGTGTTATTGATGTCACCGTGGTGGCGGGCTCTGCCCAATTCTAAGATGTCCTCCAGCTACAGCAGCTGTGGGACCCAGTCCCTAGTACTCACTAGGACTCAGTGCAGGTCTTCCTCTGAGTCTATTGCACACTGTGCCGCTTGCCTTCACTGTGTTCCCGACACAGCACGGAACGGTCAGAAAATTGCCTGGTGTTCAGCTTTGGAGCTCCAGAGTTTCTCACAATCTCCTTCAGTGCAGCTGGGCAGTCCTGGCTGCTTCGCGGGGTCCCGGGTCTCAATTTCCAGCAGTCACCAAAAGCCAATACAGCTTTTCCTCTAGGATCCACTGGTCAGTGTGCCACATTAAGGATGCAAGATTCACAGTCTCCCGTTATCAGCAGCTGCAGTCTCCTCATGACCTTAAATCCTCCAGCTGTGTTGCCTTGGTTAATAAGAATCATTATCCATTCATCTGGCTCTCTCCATGTTGTCATATTCTAGCATTTAATATGATTTCTCCAGAGAAACTGTCGGCCCAATCCCCTAGCAAGCAGCCATTTTTGAAACTCTCCACAAATACTATTTTTAAGGCAGGGCTCACATAATCTGATTACTTAATATGACATGAAAGAATTCTGGAAAGTGTATGGATCAGTACGTAGAAGTTTCTTCTACAAAAGAATGGGAATATTATAAGTACCAAATAAAAATTACAGTGCTTCACAGAAAAGAAAAATTGTCTCCAAGTACTTTTTGATCATAACTTCACTTCCAAATCATACACATTCTTATTCATTAAAATCAGTGAAGCAAATTGAGAACAAGTGATAGACTCCCCTCCTGTCTGTCTGTCTGTCTGTCTGTCTCTCAATTTCTCATTGGTAAGCTTCAGATAGACTTTAATTCCAGCAGTATCAAAGAGTGCTTTCTTTATGAAAAATGATTAGCGTACAAAAACTGTCTTGGCACATAATACTGTCCCATGGTATTTATTTGAAATTTTATCATAATTTCCTATTATCCTCAACATAGTGTTCATATTTTAATTATGCATTCAACTTGATTGTACATTGAAAACACCACCTAATGATTTTCACTTTAGGTAATTTCTTTTGAAGCCAAGATAATTTTGATGACAACTGTGTTGGTTTCCATCTAGAACATCCTCCTAAACAATCAATGAAAGCAATAAGGACTCATTTTAAGAAAGCTTACGGCAGAATGCTTAAGGTTCATGCTTGCTGCGTTGTCCCGGCTTCTGTTTTCTTCGAACCAGGTGGTGCCTTCCTGCCTAAAAAGGCACAGGCTGCGTTATTTTCTTGGGCTTCAAAGGCAGCATCATAGTCTCCACGGTACTGGCTCTCCTTGAAAACCTGAGGTGGTAAGGGACACCCTGTGGCTGGTCAACTGTTCCAGGCGCAGTTTTCTCCTATCCACTTCTGAGTCTCTTCATTGGCTACAGTATCTTTTCCTTCAAATCCTGTGGTGTTGGCTTCTATGAAACCAAGCACATCTTGCTGTTTCTTCTTAACTGCCATAGAACCAGAAGAAGATGCAGTATGTACACAAATCACCACCCTGGGAACAGTGGCTTGTGGTTGCTTGGAGGCCAAAAATTGAGACAGAATGGTTTTTCACAGACAGTCTTTTGGATTCCATTACATTTCATCTAGCTCTTTTTCTGTAGAGGGCTACTGATGTCATCTGTACTGTTTCTCTTTCTAAGTAACATTTATTTTTTCTACCAAAATAATGTTTTGACCTTCCACTGCATTTCGAGCTACCGATTTAAGCTAACACTTGATTTTATTGGCATTGTCCCTCTTGGCAGTGAATAGCTTTTAAAATTTGTAGAGATAGTTTTTCGTAATTCTGACAAAAATATACAATACTTTTCTTATGCAAAAATCTTTTGGGCTTTTTTCTTCTACTGACTTCTACTTATGTTTCATGAGGTCAGGCATACCATGCATATCATTTATATCGTATTTTGTGTTCTAATTTTTCTTATTTTTAGTTCAGTTCAGTTTCAGTTTAATAACAGCTAAGTTTATTCAGTTTTTAACTAAATTATTCACTTCTTTGAAAACTGGAATTTAAATTTAACTCTATTGTGAATTTCTTCAGTTTAAATATTTACTTTGCAGTTTAAATATTTCCTTTATTATCTTGTATTTATTAATGGTGTTTGATTGTGAAGCTTCTTGTTTGCAAACTCTTGATATATTTTGTTCTTTTTTTGGTTGGTTTTGATTATGCTACTTGTCTTTCAAACATTTAACAAGACTTCACATTCTCAAAAATTTTCTTTAAAGTATCCAAATCAGTACTGTGTTTCACCACAGAGGTTTCTGGGTTGGGCACAGGCTCTGAGAACCCACCTAATTTTCTGAGAACTTTTTTTCTGAGGAACTTTTGCTTATTTTTTGACTCCTGTACCACTTGAGCTCACAATTTTTAGGTTATGTTGTATACACAATAATAAAATCTAGCTTAGAAAAAGGAAGAATGAAGAAAAGAAAGAATGACAGAAGAAAAGAAAAAGAAGAAAGATGTCTAATTGCTATAATTCTGTCAAAGACTAACATGAAATAATACTCTTCACCAGGATACCATCTTATAAGAGATCCTTTATAGATACCCTATAAGAGATCCTTTCTCTTCCATGAAGTGTACTTCTCTTCTTAGCAAATTCTAAAACCCAGCGTTTTTTTTTTTTTTTTTTTTTTTTTTTTTTTTTTTCCCTCATCAACTTGATGTGGACAATATTTCTCTTTTTCAAATGACTCTGCTTTTTGCCCTGGTAAACAGATTCTTATAATCATAGAATTTGTTAAGTGTCTAATGGAAAATCTTGCTTTGGGTTACCAAGTGTTGTAATCGCAGGTCATTTTCAGGACTGTTTTACGTCTCCAGTGGTGTGATTTGCTAGGCTTCAGTGGACCAAACACACAAACTTCTGCTGATTTTACTACGTCCAGCAACCCTTTTCCCTTCTTTGTAGAATCCACAAAGATAAAATTTCCATCAGCTTTTCCAAGCTTTGTCCATCTTTATCACATATGCATCTTTATTCCTTACATTTTCTATCTGCATCTTAGTGCATTTGATAGTGTCAAATGGAGTTCTCAAAAGGAAGGAAATTTCTTTTAGGAAGGAAGGAATTTCAATCTAAAGAAAATCTTCATTTATAAGCCAAATACATTTGATAAAGACAAGGCTTCTCAGTTTAAAAGACAAAAACAATAACAAAAACAAAAGCAAACTGAGATTAATGTAACAATACACAATATGTCAGCAAAAGCATCAGATCAATAACAAAGTAATGATCAAATATCTCCTGGTTTTAAAAGGATTTATTTTTCTTGTGTATAACACATATATGGTTTTCTGAATTGTTAGAATGAAGTGTTACTTTGAGATGCCGTTTAGTATTATGTTGGCAAGTCATAATCTCATTATTACTGCTGACATTTTCAACTTGATGACAACTGTGTTGGTTTCCATCTAGAACATCCTCCTAAACAATCAAGCAGTCAGGGCCGTGCTTTCTAAAAGTGACTGGATGATGCAGTGGGATATTCACTGGCTCATTCATGCACAAATGTTTCTCCAGCTGAATATACTGTTAGGAGATTGGCTTTGGTTATAGGCTGGTGTGACTGAAAGACTGTATCTCCCTTTCTTTCCACACTTTTCTCTCTTCTTCCTGCATGTGAGGATATGGCAGTTTAGGCTCTGCCCAGGCATTCCCGCTATGCCTTTTCTTTATGTTCACTAGTTGCAAACCAGCATAAACCTCTCTTCCTTCATGTTGTGGGTTTCAGGTAATTGGTCAAAGCAGTGAGAAATGTATCTAATATGACATCTGTGATCATCTCCAGGCAGAATATTTTTTAATGAATGAGAAACGTTTTTGGAGCTAGCACTCTAGCTGATGTAATGCAATCACTGGTGTTATAAATGACCCAAAGAACACAGATACAAGCAACTCTAAATAATTAGATGTGATACAGATTTTATTTAGAAAAAGGCATTTGTGAAACAATGAGCAGAAGTATATGAAAATCAAACTTGCATGACTTATAAGAAACATTGTTAGTTTTAAACAGTGTGCACCTTAATATTGCAAAAGAGGTTCCTCTTTCCTCCCGTACACCTGTCAGTCTGTCCTTCCTTTCTTTTTAACCCTGGCTTAATCTTGTTCTCTTCTACAACACAACGGTCACACAGGTATGATGAAACATACACAAATACAGAACTATATAAGCAAAATCCAAATGTGGCAGACAAATAACAAAGGAATAATATAATGCAATATAGTTTATTTAATAATACCTCTGTTTATACAAAAATTGAGATTTCAGTTTGATTCTATTTTATATAGATTTACAAAAAAAATTAGTGGAACTTTTTACAAACTAGCTCACAGATACAAAAGAACCAAAAAGCCAATTTTTTTCATTTATAGTATATTACTGATGTTTTGGAGATGTGTATTGTGTCAAGAAAATTATAGATAGGTCCAGTAAAACCGGAGGTAACAACTAATAGGCTAAGAAGCTGTGGAAACTCCTCAGTAGAAGCCATAGGACCAGTATCTTCTACAGCACAAGGGGCGGCAACAGCCATAACCATAGCCACCAGAGCCACCATAGCCACAGCCACAGCCATAGCCACAGCCTGGCCCACCACAGCCATAGCCCAGGCCACCATAGTAGCTGCCATAGTAGCACATGGTGTAAGGAGAGGGCTGTTTTGTTCAGAACCAGGAAGTTGGTATCAGAAGTATCAGTCTCACTGTCTGCCAAGGACCTGTTATACCAGTTTGGTGGTGGGTGGGGAAAACCACAGGAAGTGCAGCGTCCTGTGCTTCAGACAGTGACGTCAAGATCTTTCCTAATTGAGAAGACAAGGTCCACATATTTGAAATAATTTTGTTTTATGTCAGGAATGCAGCAAATCACAGACCTTCACAATAAAACTCTTGTTCTACTTCAAGACTCAGGTCATTCTGTATTTTCTTAATTGTATATATGACATGATTACATGTTATACTTCAAATCATAAAAATGAGTTTGCCATTGTTATTTTTATTTTCCTTCCATTTCTGTACATGAGCAAGTGTCTTTCTTTCTTTCTTTCTTTCTTTCTTTCTTTCTTTCTCTCTTTCTTTCTCTCTCTTTCTTATTTTCTTTCTTTCTTTCTTTCTTTCTTTCTTTCTTTCTTTCTTTCTTTTCTTTCTTTCTTTCTTCCTTTCTTCCTTTTCTGTCTTTTCCAAAAGTCTTACCTATAAAAATTTATTTCTTGACTCTTGTTCATAACAAGGTACTAGCTAGGGACTGTTATTGCTAATTTCATAGCTAGTTACATTATGTGTGTGAACCATGGATGTTTAATCTGAACTTCTCTGAGTTGAATGATTTCAAATTTCTAGAATACAAGTGACCATTTTATGGATAGTAACTCTGCATGTTCTATGCTCATGTTTGTGCCTCCATATACACGTATTGTAGATTTAATTTTAAAACACACCATGGTTCATTTGAAATCTCTATCATCGACCCTTATTTAGCTTTTTAAAATATCAGCATTTGTCTCTGAACATGGCCAATCCCAAAGCAAATGGCATAGAAATATTCTCTGTCCACTGTGAGCTCAGAAAAATGATATTGGTAAGAGGAAGAAGAATGTATAGTCTCAACTAATTGAGAGCAGGAAAAATGAGTAATTCATTTTGTTTGATATCCTAATGAACTTACACAAACTTGTCCATTAGTTGTTTTGATAATTCATATTCTCTAGAAAACATTCACACCCATTCTTTTTCATATGATTTGAGTCTGCTTTGGTAACACCATGGCAGAATTCAGTGTTGAGATACAGTTAATAACTCCAAATTCCAGAATCTTGCCTGTCTCTTGTTACCCAGGGAAATGTTTGCATCCCCTTGACTGATCTATAAGAACCGTCGTATTGGTTTGAGCTACACCTAGTACCAAGGCTATAGAAGAGACTTACTGTTATCCTAACAGTCAAGTTGTCGTCACTGGTTATCCAGCAATGGATCCATTGTCCATTCAACCTTTGTGATTTCTGAGGTTTCCACCTTCTCTAAGCCATGACATTTCATTTCAACATACACTAGTGTTCTCTCCTTGTAGGGTGAACATCCTCGTGTGTGTGTGTGTGTGTGTGTATTTTCATGTACATTTTCTATAATAGGCTTATTGTGTTTCTAATTCTCTGTATATTAAATCCTCAAAGGCAATTATCATTTTTATAAGCACATGGTTAAAACTCATTCTTATTTTGATTGCTTTTAAAAGTATATGCTTTTTTTCTTATCCCTTTTCTTCCTAAATCACTTATTTATTTTGAATAATGGAAAAAATAAAGTTTTTACTAATTCTCTTATAATTTATATTTAAATTTTTTTGAGTTAAAAGAATGTTATTTATATTTCTTTGTTACTATATAAGTTATCTTTATTGTGAGAAATTCTAATTGTTACTTATTATCTGTCCATAATATATTTTACATTTTCTTCTAGTTCTTTTTCTATTGAGGAGTTTTTCTGTCAGGCTTATAGTTTCTGTTTGTAGGTAATATATTTATGTTACTTACCTAAATTAGGATTTAGCTTGGCATGTAATTTACTGTGACTGTGTTATACTTACCTGTGATTTAAATGGCATTATTCTTCTTAGCAGTGAATACAATTTACAATAGGTGAACATCTTTTATTAGTTTGAGGAAAAATATTTTCTGCTCAAAAATGACTTGTCCTTTATTTTTTCCCTCTGTTAAATTCTATTTATGTCTATAATTTTCTCTTATGTGAGATTTTACACAATTCTATTACTCTGTTCTGTGTATTATGCTTCGATGTTTTTTATTTGTTCTTAAACTGACTATAAATTATTAACACAGATTTCATTTTTACTGTTCACCTAAATATATTGAATTGATTTCTCACTTTTTGAATTTATTTGTATGTTGAATTTCTCCAGTTTTATTGTAAATTCTTGCAGTTATTTTGAAAAGTTATAGTATTTCTTATCCACAAATTCCTGTATGTGGTGTACATTTCCGTTATATTGTATTATCTTTTATTTCCTTTATATAATTCTACAGGGTTTTAAATGCTTAAGTTTTTTCCCCCAAAATTATAGAGAGTCCAAAACAGTTACGGATTTCACCATATAGAATTTTTGAGTTGGTAATAGTTTCTTAGAAAATGTGTGATTATCTGAGCTGGCTGTGTTGTTCATCGCTTATAGTTCAGCTACACAGGCAACTAAATCGTAAAGAAAGGTAAGGAAGAAAGACTGAAAGAAAGAAAGAAAGGCGGATCAGACTGCTATAATTCAAGCAAAGACTAACATTGAATTAAAGCATCTCCCAAGTCTCTCTATTCCTGTTTGGGCCACCTATAGAGATACCCATTTTTCATTGAGTGTGCTTTATTTACAGATTCTGAAGTCTAGTGATCATTTTCTCATCAGTTTGATATGGACAAAATTTTTGTCTGAAATGATTGTACTTGTTATCTTTGGAAACCTTTGCTTTTCAGAATTTATATTGACCCCAGTGAGAAATCTTGTTTTGTGTATAAGTTTAGTATTTTAATAGTACATCGTCTTGAACACTTGTTAGGTTTCTGCTTGTAGTTGCTGAGCCTCGGTGGCAGTAGCTTACAAGCGCTAATTACACTTCTTCCAGGAGCCATTTGCATGCTTCCTAGAATCCAAAACAGAGCGATTCAAACCCATTTCCCCCCAAATTTTTCCATCTTCACCATATTGGTCCCTTTTCACTTAAAAAAAAATCCACATTTTATTACATTTGATGGTGTCAGTTGGAGTTTTCCAAATGGAAACAAGTTTCTTTCAGGATTTAAGAAATTTCTGCTTGGCGAAAATCAACATGAGTGAGCACATGTATTTGATAATGATCATGTTTCTAGATGAAAATTTAAAGTCTATTGTTAATTTGTTAATGAAAAAATATCTCCTGCATTTGAAAAGAATTACATAGTTTTGCAATGTTGAATACCTACATTATTTCTAAAAGGTTACATTAAATTAGCCTATTAGGATGCAATGTGACACTGTGTCCTCAAGTAGGAGAAGCATTATTAATGCTATTGTTTTCAGTATGAGGACACCTGTTATGGTTTAGATTCAGAATGTCCCCTAAATACTCAGGAAGTCAGATGCAGAGTTTTCAAAAGGGGAGTGGATACAGCAGTGCTGCTACCCCTGAGTGTATCCACACACTAACATCTCAGCAGCTCACTGTGATTAATGAGAGTCAGTCACCCTCAGACTCCTGCGCTCTGTGTACTTTTGACTGGCATGAAATGGACAGCTTAAGCCCTGCCCAGATCTTTTCACCTTTTCTGCTTTGGAACCAACTGACCATGACTTAAAATCTTGTAAATCTCTTGCCTTTGTCTTCTGGGTGTCAAGTATTTTGTCAAACTGAAGAGCTGTGTCTATTACAACGCGTAAAATCATTCTTTAGGCAGAAGGATTTTTAAAGAGTGAGAGACATTTTCAGGGGTAAAGCACTCATTAATGTAATCCAGGGCTAGTATTATAAATGGCACAAAGCATATACAGTTTTAAATGATCTTGTGTGAATACCGATATAATGGTAGAAAGAGCCTTTTTCAAATGTAGATGAAATGCATAAGCCAACAGAAATGGCAGGTAAGATTAAAAGACATGCATAAGAACAAATCTGAATATGTATGAGAAAGAATTGATGTTTTTACTATATTGGTTTAGACCTCTAATTATCTAAAAATAACTTCCTGCCTCACTTCCTCCTTTATTTCTCTTATCACTGACCTTCTTTTATTACCCTGTCTTTTTCTCCTTGTCATCAATGAAACCACAAACATACATTTGTGACTTATTACACAGAAATATACTGTTGGGTGTGATGGCCCATCCCTGTCAATCCAGCACTCTGTAGGCTGAGGCAGGAGGATTACCTTGAATTTGAGGTCAGCCTGGGCTGGATAAGCAGATTCAAAGCTACATAACCAGACCTCATCTCAAATGGAAAAAAAAAAAAAAAAAAAAAAAAAAAAAAAAAAAAAAGAAAAAAAATATACAAATATACAAGCAGAATACATAATGTAGTAGAAGCACAACAAATCAATTTTTATGAGTTTATTTGATATTTTTATGCAAAAACTAAGTTAAATTTGATTACATTTTATATAATGTTATAAAAATAATACAGAAACTTCTCCACAAACCATCTCATTATCCAATTAATTCTATTGAATCAAATACTATGCAGTATTTTTTGTTTTTAGGTAATTCAGTATGTAGTCAGTGTTTCAAGACATTTCAAAATGCATCATTTAAAAATTTGCAGATATTTCAGTAAAACAATGTTTAAAGCAAGTAGGCTAAGAAGCTGTGAGAATTCCTCAGTAGAAGCTATAGGACCAGTATCTTCTACAGCACAAGGGGCAGCAACAGCCATAACCATAGATGCCATAGCCACCAGAGCCAGAGCCAAGGCCACCATAGCCACAGCCCAGGCCACCATAGTGGCTGCCACAGTAGCACATAGTGTCAGGAGTGGGCTGTTCTGTTGAGAAACAGGAAGTAGGTGAGTGAGTCTGGTTGTCATAATCTGCCGGGGCCTTTTATACCTCCTTGGTTCTGGGCATGGAAACCACAGGCAGCGTGGGGTCACGTTATCTCACTAATGTGCTTCAGAGCATGTCTGTATATTTATTAAGAAAACAAGGGCTTGTAACTGAGATAATTTTGCTACTATGTTAGGAATCTACAGTTGTCTTCTGGGCCTTTAAAATGAAACTATAATTTTATTTTTGAGGCACTGATTTATTCTACTTATAGTGAATTTTGTACCTATGACATATAAAAGAGTATAGCATTTTAATTTTATTTTCTTTCCATTTCTCCACAGGGACAATTGTTCTTTCTTTCTTGCTTGCTTGCTTTCTCTTTCTCTCTTCCTTCTTATTTTTTTCTTTCTTTATTCTTTCCTTCCTTTCACCTTTTCTCCACTCCTTTCCTCCCTCCCTGATTCCTCTCTTTTCCTTCCTTCCTTTCCTCCTGTTCTATTATGTTATTTCTTGCATAAACAACTATTGCTTAACTTTTTCTCGTGAGAAATTAGCCAGTAAGTGTTTATCATCTGATTTTTAACTTGAAATTATTCCTGGTATAAATAATGTCAAACTTGCCAGAATGTAAGTGGCCACTTTCAAAAGAGAAAGTCTATGTGATCTACTTTGGTCTTTTCATGTTCTGAAGATGTTCTGAAGGTCTAGCTCTGAAAATAAATCATGGCTTGGATTTTCACTTTGTCTGTAACAATTGTTTTTTTTTTTTTTTTTTTAATTAGGGATTAGTTTTGAATATGACCAAGACAAAAGGCAGTGGTTACTGAGATCTCAGAACAAGTGTCATTAATTATCATACTCAGAGGAGAAGCAACATGTAATCTGTAATAACAATAACAAAAGAATAATCTGCATTGGATATCGGACCTTTAGATCACACGAGTCCTTGACCACTATCTGTTTTGGTGAATAATTTTTACAAGAAAACAGTATATAACAGACTTGAGACAGAGTATAGGGTCCTCAGAATGTAAAATTTTGACAAACCATTGTTGCTAGAACATATTTACCTTTTCCTTGCCCAGTGATAGGAACAGCCGGACTGTTGGGTATAGAGATGAACCATAGTTGCTATGTCATAGAAAAGACTTGTCTTTCTCCAAAATTCAGCTTTTCATCTACAGTTGTTCTACTCCCTACTCAGTTTTATTGACAGTTCTTCGTTTTCATACATACTTTCATATATATATATAGTATGTATGAAAACAGATTGTTTCATATATATGTATATCTACCTGAAAACAGATTGTGTATATAATATATATGAAAACACACACACACACACACACATATAGTTTGTTTCCCTAATAAGCTTAGTGCCTTAGCTGTATGTATTCTTATGCATATTTTTGATACTCCTATCATATATCTCATTTAGGTACACTAAAATCTCAAGAGGAACTCATCACTATTTATGTACTATTTTACCTAATTCTATTATTTTTTGACTTTACAATTTTTCCTCAGTAGTTTTCTTAAATAAATCTATCATTTCTTATTATGATGAATTGAAATCATAAATTTTTCATAGTGTTTTCTTTCTTTTTTTATTTTCATTACTTTTAAGATTATTTTTATTTTAATAATTTTGTATTCTGCTAGATGGGAAATTTTGGTTATGTGAAATTCTAGATTGTTGGTTATTCTTATTTTATCCTTAACAGATCATTACAATTTCTTCCAAGTTCTTTCATTTCTATAGAGGAGTTAGGCTTATTGATTTTCTTTTTAGGTAACATTTGTTTTGTATAGCTCGATTAGTTTTTGGTTTGCACTTAATTTTGAGGTACTGAGTTATGCCACATAAACTTTTAATTGGCCTTTTCCTTCATGGCAGTGAATTGCTGTAAGAAATTGTGGACTGATGTATTTTAATAGCTTTTAGTTGTTTTGAAAAAAACCTATTATGTTATATATACAATTTTTTAAAATTTAAAATGGTTTCTTCTTTATTTTTTCTTTATCGAATTCTACTTATATGTATATTTTTCAGTTCACTAGATCTCTAGTCAGTATTTTACAAAGCAATTTTTCCATTTTTTGCTCCAGAAGACTAATTTATCAACATAGGTTTCCTTTTAATAAATCACTTGTTTATTAAGTTCTTAGCTATATCTGTCACATTTTAGGAAGAGGAATTCAAACAATTCTTTTTATGACTTTCCCCAATATTAATATATGTTTTTCAAATTTCCTCTAATATTTGTGTATTTATTAATTACATCTATTCCAAAAGTTCTTTTATTATTCCAAAATTTCTTGCCTATAAACTTCAATATGTTGTTCATGTCATAGGTAATTTTATCTGTTACTTCTATTATCTAACTCCACATGGCTTCATATACACAAATTTTTTTATTAACATTATAGATGATCCAAAATAGCATCATATTTCAACCTCAAGATTTTTGTAGTTGACTTTAGGTGCTAGACAATTTCCAGCTGAGCTGGGTGTTTTGACTCTTGCCTGTAGTTCATTTACTCTGGAGGTTGAGTTGGAGGATTACTTGAATTTTTAAACCATTCTGGACAGAATAACAAGACCCATCTAAAGAAAGAGAGGTGACAAGCAAGAAAGAAGGAAAGAAAGGAAGAAATGGAGAAAGAAAAAATAAGTCTGATTATTGTAGTACATTCAAAAGCAAACAAATAATAAGGCTCTTGGCAAGGATCTATTTAACTCTGTTTGGGCATATCCTATAAGAGATATTCCCCTTTTCAACTAAAATTTCTTCTTTATAGCAAATTCTGAATTCTAGTGATTATTTTTTTCATCACATAATATTAACCAAATATCTAACTTGCAAATGATTCTTGCGTTCTCTATGGAAACAGACCCTTGCAATTTCAGAATTTGTAAAGTATTTTCAGGAGTAACCTTACTTTGTATAAGCTCAGTAATTTGATAGTGTATCTTTTATAGGATTTTGTTTTTTATGTCTCCAACTGTGGTTTTCTAACCATGTAGGGAGGGGGTAGAATCCAAAATTCTGTTGATTATCACTCTCCCAGCAGTCTCTTGCCTGCCTGGTAGCAATCAAGAACATTGGAATTTCAGTACACTGTAACAAAATTTCTGCATCTTTAGCATATTGTTCTTTTTAATCCTTAGTTTTTCCATCAGCATTTCATTGCATTTGGCAGTTTCAGTCCAATTTTCCCAAGTGCAAGCCAATTAGCTTTAGAAATGAAGCAATTTTAATCTCAAGAAAATCAGCACGCATGAATCATACATATGATGAAGACCAGGCTTCTTGATAAAAATCAATCAATCAATCCACACTTGATCTCTGGCTGAGCAACATCTCCAGGTTTTGAAAAGAATTATTCTGGCTATATATAATGTATATGTTATTTTCTAAAGAATTAGAATAAACTGGTACATTTTGTGATGCTGTTTGTTGCCATGTCAGAAAGTCAGAGCAGCATTATTATTGGTGACATTTTCAGTATGATTGCACCTGCTATGGTTTAGATCTATAACAATCCCCAAAATACTCATCAATTCAAAGGCAGGAATTCTGAAAAGTGATGGATTATGGGTGGTTATACACATCAAGGGTATTCATCCACTAATATTTCTGAAGCAGAGGACATCTGTTCAAGGTGGTGCTTGCATGAAGGCTGGGCTTGGACAGGGAAGAGGGTATATCTCTATCACAGGATCCTCCTTTCTATCTGCTTCTCAGCTGCCAGGCCACGAATAGCTTATGTTCTACCCAGGACTTTTCATTGTGGCACTTCTGTCTTTGGGCTAGCTAACTAGAACCCCAAATAAAATTGTATTGTGTCAGATATCTTGTCCAACTCACCAGAAAAGCAGACAACATTTACAATTATCTAGGTATACTTTTTTTTATCACTGGAAAATACTTTGCAGAGATAGAACACTTGATGGTATAATCCAAGCATGGGTGATACAAATGACACAGAGCAAACAGGCACATAATTTAAAAAATGTGATGTATATACTGATATTATTGTAGAAATAGCATTTAAAAAACTTGAACATAAAATATAATCAAACAAAAATAGTAAGGGATATTAAAGGACATTTATAAAAAGAAATTCAGATGATCTATGAAAATGCTTGGAATTTTATTCTTAGAATTTAGATCTCTAATTATCAAAAAAGAGTGTTCTCTCTCCTTCCCTCCACTCACTGCCCACTTTCCTCTTTCATGCATGTATGACACCAGAACAACACACTTGTGACTAATCACACATAAATACTCAAATAAACTGGCAACCATTGATGTAGTAGCACATTAACAAAGAAATATTTAACATAGAACATAGTGTATTTAATACTACATCATTTTATCAAAAAAACTCTTAAATGGGAGTGGCACAAGCTGAAGGCCTGCCTGCACAGCAAACTCCACCTTGCTGTGCAAGCTTAGCACCTCACACAGAACCCGGTGAGGCCCTGCCAGCATTTCCAAATAGCCAGGGACCTTTGGTAGGTCTACCTCAAGTAGAAGGGGAACCTGCTGTGCTGAGTGGTATAAGCTGAAGGCCTGCAAAGCGAGCTCCAACTATTAGGGTCTCACTCAGTGACTCCAAACAGCTGGGGAGCTTTGGTTTGCCTTGGGCATGAGCTAAAGGCCTTCACAGTGTCCTCCATCTAGCTGCCTATCCTTGGTATGCTGCTCAGCACATGGTAGAGTCCTGACCAACAACCTCAAGCAGCTGGGGAACTTTGAGTGCCACTAGAGACCTGTGAAGGTCAGATTAATGGCCTCCACTCACCTGGAAAAACTCCCTGCATTATGTACAGATATCTTCAAGCCAAGAAGCAACTAAGACGTTGCATTTGGTTTCCCTACGGGAATACAGAAAAATGACAAAATGAAAGAGCAAAATGCAACCTGAAACACACAGCCCATCCCCCAAATCCTAGGAGACATGGGCAT